GTCTACGATTACAATTTGTTTGTATTGTGCTGGAAATGTTATATTCAAAGAAATACTGTTACGATAAAGATACTAATTTGGCCGGAAATGTTTTACGGGTCTATATTATCTGAATACTCCTTGTTTTGCATGTGGTGCACTCTATTGTAGTAAAAACCATCTAACTTTGTGATATACATTGATTCAGCCAGTGAGTTTGTTACCATAAGTTTTCAGATTTCCTCTAGCTGGTGTTTACACAATTCTAAATTTTAAAACACATAACTAGCTGAGAGACACATTCCAACTTCTCACATATTCATAAAGCCCTTTAAAACGTTAATAATTCAGTATATACGATGCCATATAAATTTATAATACATGGGATTTGAGATTCATACTGATAGGGTTGTGTACACTGAATAAGCTTGCATATCTATGTGAGCATTACCAAAAAGAGAGAGTGAAAGTATTCTTAACAGAGTGACAAAGGGAATAAGCCTTTTATAGTTAGTGATTCTTTAGTAATTATATATAATACATTTTTTATAATTTTAATGAATATAAATGTTAATAGAATACTTGATCTAGAGAAAAGGTTTAATTGTAGGATAACTTATGGAGATAAATTTAAAAGTATTGAAAAAATATTTAAAAAGTTTTTGCCTCTGAGGAAGAAAGATCCACCTTTTGAAAATGCTTGGGCTATAGGGTATCCTGTTTTTGTACAAAACTGGAAGACTTACTATAAGAATTCATTAACATGAAATATGAAGAAAAATTTAGTTTTTATTAAATTAAGTGGTTTAATAATAATGGTGTATTAGATGAAAGTGTTATAGTAGGTTTTCAGCAGCGTTGACATAGATCACAATTTCCCAGACTGTTGAATGTAACTTCCAAAGGAGTTACAAAAGGTGTCAACAGGATGGGTGGGTGGGTGAAGATGTAGTACGTTAATAATTTTTCATTTTTAAAATATACAGAAATGTATCTAAATCTCATAGAAGTGTTTTATTACAATGGTTTAAAAATCTTCACAAAAGACTATAGTATGTACTACACTTGTTATAACAACATAGTTGTAAAATTAATTTTATCTTGTATATGGGAATCAGGATTTGTAAGAATGGTAACCATTAAAGAAAATCATGAAATTTATTGTCATTTGAAAATAACTTGCTTTTGTGCTTCATAAACATCATAACTGGAACAACTGTTGTCATCCAAGTAAGCACATATCCATCCTATTGTCAGTTAAGTTACATTCATCGTTACTACTTTAGTATTTAATGTTATAAATATTATTGTTATAAACTTATAAGTGAGGAAGTCATGAATTTGAAGACTGGTAAAAAAAATAGGGGTTTATGAAGAGTGTAAGTTTGGGAAACCTTAATGTAGGTAAACTATTATGTTAAAAGTTATGAGAACAGAAAAACATATATCCTACTGAAAAGGTTTTTGTGAGTTATTTCTGAAAATATCTAATTTTTCTTTTAATAAACTTATGAATCGTTAAACACTATTTAAATGATGTACATTATACCAGTTTCAGTTTTTTTTTAATCTTTAGAGAATATTATTTAAATGTTATTTATTTATGAGAGTTAGGATAATTTTGAATTGGTTTCTTTATCATAAATGTCATTTTATGGCAAAGTGGTAAATTTTGTTTGCTAATGAAAATTTTAATTACCCGTTTCATTTTAACTGATACAAATGATATTAAAAGTTATAGAATTGTATAACCTTATAGTAACTGTTTTCACACATAGAGGCTTCAACTGAATTTTGTTATTGAAGTGTGTGCTAAGTAGTGTTATATATATTCAGTGTTTTATTCCGTACCTGATCTGTCTCATTAACAGTAGAATATTTTCATATTATAATTTTGCGAACTTACTTTCAATCAACCTCATCCTACTTTCTTTCCAACATTACCTCTAAACTATGTACAAATTACTTCATGATGGTAACATTTATATCTGCATTTGTACTTAGATTATGTAAATTAGTACTAATTGTTGTGTACAATACTGTAGCTGCTTGTGTGAAGATTTTCAAACCACCGTGATAACATTGTTTATTTAGTTATGAGACTATTCGTGGAATGTTTTACAATTTACGTGAGTCTTGGTTTAATGTTATACATACTTTTTAGATAATGTAGAATCATTCTCACTTTTAAAACCAAATAAAACTGTTACAAGTCCCTAACTGCGAGATATTTTATTTTTCTCAATTTCTCTAATGTCGGAACTTAAAATATATATATATATTATTGGTTTTAATAAATGTTTAGCATTATGTGACTTTAAGTATCGATAACTTTTCCATTCTTATGTTAAACACGTTGTTTGCTGTTGTCACACATGACATTGTATACAAAATGAATGTCGTATTGAGTGTGTCAAAGGAAACCTGTTGCAATATTGTAAAGATAACTTAGCTTGTAAGTGTTTGAGCTAGTGTTCCTATATTTAAAATTTGACATTTAAAAGCATTTGGAACTTCTTTTCTAGGAATACGTGTCATTTTCACGTGACCTAATATTTTACTTAAGTTTCCCTTGTTGCTTTTGACTGTTTCAAATTACAACTACTTTGTTATCATAAAGTATATGAATATTATATTAACAGATACAATTTAGATTCAAAATTGCTTAACTTGTCCAGAGTTTATACTGTTAACTGAAACCTCACTTGTGAGCATCAAAAAATGCCCAATCCTTTTAATGTTTTTTTTTCTTTTCAGTACCTTTGTGATCTCTGGT